TCCCATTACCGGTCACAAAAAAAGACAAAAAGGAAAAAAAAAAAAAGAGAGAGAGTCTTCAGAAATGCCTTAGTTTATTTCAAACTTTACCATTTTCTAGAATTTTTATATTTATTTATTTATTTATTTTTTGTCCTTTTTTTTTTGAGACCGGCCACACCGCGCTCAGCCAGTGAGCACTGTGAGCACACCAGTCATCCCTATATAGGATCCGAACCCGCAGTGGGAGCGCTGCTGCGCTACCAGCGCCACACTCTCCCGAGTGCACCACAGGCTTGGCCCTCTAGAATTTTTAAATGACTCTTTTCTTACTACACATGTTCATTGTAAAAAGAAATTAGAAAATGCATGTAAAAACAGAGAAGAAAATAGAAAATCACCAGTGACTCCATTACTCAGAGAAAACCACCATGAACAAGTTATGTAAATACTTCCAGGCTTTTTTCTTTACAAAGCTATGTTTATTAAATTAGAATCATACGTAGTTAAATCTTTGTTTTGCATACTTCTGTATTTGAAATATTTTTCTCTTGCCTTTGTCAGGAAAAATTGTGAAAGACTTTGAAATGAGCAAAAAATATTATCTAGGTTTTTTCCACCTTTATTGTCTTTGAGCTGTTCTAAAATTCTGTAAATTGTGGCAAAGTGTTAATAATAATGATCCTAGTCAATACTAGAATGCAACTGATTACTGCTCTTCAGCAGAGAGTAGCTCTTTAGTATATGGACCAGTGAGATTTTGTGTTTCTGAGTTTACTGATCTGAAACTATAACTTCTTTCTGTATCTAGGTGTCTATAATTCAGAAAAGCCTTTATCTCTTATTGTGTTAGTGTGCAATATTTTCCTATCTCCAGAGGGTATTAGTAAATTAGATTATTAAAAATCTTAAAGGAGCTCTGTTCTACTAGCTTATAGAGAAAAATAAGCATTTATACAAGTAAAACGTTTCTGTAATTTCCACAAAATAAGGAATTAATTAACATCTACTGTAAGTGTGCATAAGGAAAATTATTCCTGCAAAAACTCAGAAGTCTTGAGACTACATGTTGGGAAAATAGAATAGTCTAATCAGGCCCCCTCACCTCAGGTCCAGTGGATGTGGTGCAGCACATTCTTTGTAAACAAATTGTGTGTGTAGGTGTAGTGCACATGCGTGCCAATGTATCTTTTTAGTTTTGTTGCTATTGTGTGTTTGAGAGAGTTGTGTGGAGCAGCAGCCCTGAACTGTTGGCTGGCAGACAGCTCACGTCTGAAAAGGAGCATGTTTATTTTACTGGCAGCTGTTCAGTTTTTCTTTGGACTTTGCCAGTAGCAGTTGAGTTTCTGAGTTTCTCTTTGGACTGCCTAGCTCCTAAATGTATGTGTGTGCAGAAATAAAGACTACTCTTTCTTCAACAAAGGCTCCAAGGACCTCTCTTCTGGTTACCTAGCTCGTAGACCTGTGTGTGAAGGGTTTGTGACCCAGTCTGGACAATGGGCTTGAGCGGTCTGTGAGCTCCAGACCCAGCCCTAGCTCTACAATTGGCATAGTCGTTGCAGAATTATGGGCAGGTAAATGAGCTTGACACTACAAGTTTACATAATTATGGTATACCTTTGGTAAACAAGACTAGTTTAATAATTATGGTTTAATAAAAGTAGCTATGTCTTCTCCGATTTACCAGTGTTACGTTGAAAATAGTATATATTTGATTCTACTGGGCTTTGTGTTTTCTAAATTTATTCATATTTATTAGTCTAACAAGTTAACATTACTCATATAATGTTAAAAATTATGAAAAATGGGCCGGCCCGGTGGCGCACTGCTACAGTGCGCTGCTTGGGAGTGCAGCGGCGCACCCGCCGAGGGTTCGGATCCCACATACAGACCGGTTCCCGCTCACTGGCTGAGCGAGGTGCGGGTGCAACACCGAGGGTTGCGATCCCGTTG